CCCACATTAGCTCTTTTCTCAATCCCCGACCATCGGGGTTGTGCTATTAAGTCGGTCATCCGACCCAAATCAGCAAGTTATACAATGAACTTAATTTTAAACTACTACTATTAAATGCACAAGAATGTATAGTGCCATTTTTTTAATAAAACTAACAATATAGATCTAGCACATTGTCACAACCGGAAAAAAATGTCTTCATTTGTTTGTAAAGAGAAATAATAATCTCACAATGTGATTTAAATAATACTTTTATCATACGAATGACAATGATAATATATTCAGTAATATCAACATCGCAATTAATTAATTCTCCCTGCTGAGATGGTAAGGCAAAAGTAGTCGATAATGCTGCACGGGAATTGAAGAGACACAAATTCAGACAGAATATTTTAAAATGTGGTCTGTAGCTATAGATAAATGGCCAGAAATTCACTTTTGGATTTTATTTTATTTTCTTACCAAATCATGATATTTTGTTTATGCAAGCGCTAAGAAAAATGCTCTAGTAGGGGACATTCTCACAAACGGAAAAGAACGCATTTATAATTGTTGCAGCTATTTTGGCAATTTGTATCTATACGCTATCCTGTCGTATCTTGTTTAGACAGCCATGATCTATTTACATCCGGGTTATTTGTTGAGAGCACATGGTGCTGACGTCCGAACTAGGCTATGAAGGAATGCATAGCGAGTTTCATAATGAAGAAAAGGCGTATATCTACAAAACAATGCACAATCGTAATTGTTTGCTATTCAATCACCATAAAGGAACATCGGGAGGTAGGGATTGCATGGGGGACAAACCTAGAATCCCTTCACGATAGTAAATACGGAATAGGCTTCGCACTGTTGTGTCCGAATGGCAGGTCTATCGATTTTGAACGCCTTTGTGAGCAATGATTGAACTTCTTAGACGATGTTGACGTCAATCGGATTCAGATCTACAATCTGACTTACAAATGTACTAAACCTCCTGCTTGGTCAGCCCTTAATTACTCCTTTAATCAGATTTATGTCTTTGTGACAACACTTCTTTTCAATTTTACATTGTATACAAAAAAGAAATTTATAAATTACCTTATAATGGGTTATTTACGCCGGCTAATTATTTCGTGATTTTGAACCAAAGATAGAAAATGTTATTTACGCGGAAAGTAAAGTCGCGTCTTAGCCCAAAGACGGGACACTCGGCATATAAAGTGTAAATGATAATGAAATGAATAAGCTTAATGACAGCATATTGAGCAACAACAAGTGGGTGTATTTTGTAAAACAAATTATCAACAAACCTTTAAGATGTGTGATATAACCTATTTCTAAACAACAAATGAATTACCCTTTATCTATAAATATCGCGACAACCTTGCTATTTCATGCGGACAATTCAGTTGTTATCTTGCTATATGGTACATGTATCTTTAATATTTATTTCATTTTCTGTAAATTCCGAACACAAATTATCTGTCTTCACTGACATGCACTCAAAAACCCTCGTAACATCGACTAGTACACGCTCTTTAATCCAAATTCCTCACGGCAGCAAAGTAACGCAATCATTCAGATATAAGTCCGGGACTTCTTTAATTGTACTTTCAAAAGTTGCCTTGTCGTTCAAATCTGGCATATTTGGATTTACCAAAACAATGAAAGATGACACATCGGTATTGCCGTTGTCTGACAATAGTTTTCGGTTTTTGAAACCAACTAGCCAGTTGTAGCTAGATGAATTCATTTTCGCTAAATATGATATTTTTAACACTACGAGGTCATAAAAATATGTCCAAAAACGTTTACTTAGGGCGTTTGATAATCCTCATTGCTTTAACAAAAAGACGAAAGGCAACAAGCCCTTTCTCATTATTTTTTCACTTTTTATATATGTTTAATATATCTCCAAAAACGGTCAATAGGAGAGAAACAAAAAGGATGGAGGTCCAAAATATTGAAAAGGGGGAAGCAGATCCATTTTAGTTTCCTCAATGTCCCCTAAGCGGGAGATCACGGTGGCTGATTTATGCCATTTCGTTGTTTCGTCTTTGTGACGGCACATCGAAAATCAATTTTTGCTAATTGTTGTCCTTTCGCCCCGAAAAGTCGACACCACGAAAATTAAGGTTTGCTAATTCGTCCTTTCAACCAGTAAAGACGACATAACGAGAATTGAGGTTTGATAAGTGTCGGCCTTTCGCCCCGAAAAGAGGAGACCATGAACATTTCTCGTCTTTTCGTCTTTTCGTGGCGAAAAGATGAACGAACGATATTTAAGGATAACTACTAAGGTTTGTTAATTGTCGTCTTTTCGGGGCGAAAATACCAAACAACGAAATGGTACAAATCAGCCACCGTAGCATAGAAGAAAGAACCAAACACAAAGAGTGCAGAAATAAATAAATCCCCTCTTCATCTGACACTTAAAGACGAAGAATTGTATTTAAGGTAAGATTTTCGAGAATTTTATTTTATGTCGAAAATCCTACCTTAAATACAGTTAAGTAAGAGAAAAAGAAATGATCTTTGAGTATTTGCTGAATTTATCAATGTTAATCGCTTCTATAATTTAACATTTATTTTAGAATGAAATCGGTAAAAGTTTGGTCGCAAAGATACCAGATAACAGTTTCTTAGCGTTATAAGTACAAACACGGCATAAACAGCTCCGACCTAATTAGGGAACTCGTTATCTTTCTTTATTATCGAGCCGTATTAGTTGTACATGTCGAAACCTATCTGCACACTAATCCGCCATCACTTCGGCATGGGGAGACTGGATCTCAACAACATGCTATGTAAACAAACAGGGGTCTCAATCGTAATTGATGGAGCCGGTCGAGGACAAAATCACACGTGGGAATGGATTGTTCACAAACGTATTAATTATTGATAATCCCCGAGATATAACACTAGGAAAATACAGGGTATAACATTGGAACACTAGGGAAATATCGACTCGGCAACAATCGGAATCCATAATCAAACGATGTGTGCCGAAATGAGCCGAGAGTTGCAATTACTTGTCCATATCGATGCTATTTTTGGAAGATAAAATTATATTTCATAACTGATTCATGGTGTGTCCGTATAA